GCCCGCAGATTGATCCCATGCCTTTTGAACTGATTGCTTTGGCTGATGTACCCAATCCTCCCACTCTAGATTTGGGCATCCTGATAGTATCACTTCACATACAATGAATTACCCAAACGAAATTACCTTCCTGCCACATCGTCTGATGCATTCAACCGGTTCGCCATATTCGCTACATACATCGTGGTGGATGGGCGAAAACATGCGATTTCTAAGACATCCCGTCTTTTTTTACCGTCAGGAAAAGCAATCAATCAATTTATCAGCTATAGACCGTATACTCTGGGCACATTGGTTCTAGCTACTACAGTTTCGATCACACAAAAGTGGGAGAGTCTGGCAATACAGCCAAGCCTTGAAGGCGATGGCATGTTTAGTTACGTAGCCTGGATGGCCTGGATGCACGGGCGCCACTGACTGCGTGACTGGATCGTTTCTGTCAGTGTCATCAACCATTGGTGAGTTGAGTCCCGGGGTTCTCATCCAGGGAGACAGCAGTTGTCCACCCAATTCAGTTCACTGGCTAGTGTTTTCAAACTTCGTTGCTGGGTCATACACTGTCCATCTGTCGGTAGCTCCTACGTAGCACTGGGATGGTCAAAAACAGTAACATCAGTGTTGCTACTGACACCCTTACAAGACCCCTGTTCGATCACCTCAAACTGCTGGGGAGAAATCCAGGTTCTCGCACTTCACTGTGCGGGTATCTGATAATCTTAATACAATGGCTCGTGGTATCTGCTGTGTGGGAGTTGCTTAGCCTCAAGGCTGTGTGATTTACTGAACTGAAACTCAGTTAGTCACCTGCACTGTTAGTTCAGTTCATTGACGTGGTAAGTGGTGTTGGTTTGTCGTGTCAGTATGCTATTCTACGAACGGTAGCTCTTAGGTTGAGAGGACAATTTTATAGACGTTTGCTACGGTCGCTTCTACCAACCAAATAACACATCATGGTTCTGACAGGTGATCTGATTGCCCAGGCTCACTAGGTCAGGGGAACCCAATCTTCGCGGACGTTGTGAGTTGGCGCTTGCCGCACGGATGATTGGCTGTACATTTACTGAACATAATTTACTTCTAGGCAGAAACTTTCAGCCCAAACGCTCACACAGAGTTGTAGGCCATAAGATACAAACCGGCCGTGGACGGGGACCATTAGACATTCAGTTGCCGATTGAGACCTTCACTACGAGACTTGTTTTAGGATCATCATCATCACCATCATCATCGACAGCATGACATCAGTGTTCAACACCGATGCTTTACTGACTCCGATCACGGCATTCTGTTCGCACGTACCTATTCGCTAGACCTCAGAAATACGTCGGATGATGCAAAGGCATTCAGTACATCACCTGCGAAACGTCTCCATAGCTGATAAGCTTCCGGAACTCGAAGGATGCAATGAGCATATTTTGATTGCTGAAGGGTGAAAGAAGTCATTCCCACAGTTGATACTGTATGCCTGAGGTTGTTTGCATAGTATTCAATCACAATCTCGTCACGGCCAGCAGCTGTGCTTATAGTCAGAAAAACCATGCAACTGTGATGACGCGCAAAGGCTCCTAAAACGCCAAATGCTGGGGGCCTAAGGACTGAAAGAGAACCCTGGTGGATCACAAAAGCCGAAGAAATGGAGAAAGCTTCTGTTAAGAGGACTGTCTTCAAATGAACAAATCCACTTTGCGAACGATTTTCTTGTATACTGAAACCTTGCTTCTACATATAACAGCTCTTTTAGCTGGGATCAATCCTACCCTATTTCTGCTAATCCGATCAACTGGTCCAGGAGTGGGCGATATGGCCTCCGAAGAAGATGGGTCCTGAATTCATTCTTAGAAAGGTCGTCTTGAACGATAAGCTGAGCTCTGAAGAACACCTCAGCTGGCCCCCCATCAATTCAACTCCTGTAAGAACCAAATCTACCCTGGTAGAACGTCAAAGTCAGATGTGTTTCTCCTCGAATTTTAAGGTACATAATCAGTGATCGCATGTTTGGCGCACACAGAGAGATGTTATGATGGTAGTCAGTTTACTCAACAGGGCTTGTGCTTCGTCTTCAAAGATGAGGACGATGTCGCCTGTTTACTCCGATTTTACAGAACTCCATACGCTCTCAGTCCCAGACGTATGTGAATGTAGTGATGGAGTCATGTTCATAAACGTCTGGGTCATACTCTGTTGAGCAAGCACTCTCCGATCAACAGCATCAAACGCACCCTTGAAGTCAAGAAACATCAAGATGGTGAGTCGTACGTTGCTCGCTTTTCTCTAACTCCTGACGGAGTGTGAAGATTTGGTCAACACAGTCCCCACCCGATTGGAAATCCCGCTTGGTGCTAATGGGTCAAGGTCTCGCGAAAACTACCTGGTCTACCTCAGTAACAATGATCTGATGTTCCCACCAGACTCACAAAACAGAGGAGCCGATAAATCGTTCATCTGTGGTATCATTTCGGTGTCTAACTGCTGTGTCACCAAAGGGAGACACGAGGCCTGGGATACTGCTAGGTTGCCCAAGCCTATGCAGGAGATATCTAGATGCAGATGTCGGTTCAAACCACGAACCTTCCGGTCAGTAAATTTGCGTTCTACCTACTGAGCCATCTCACCCCGACCGACAAGAGAACGGAGAGCGTCCTAAGATCTTCCACACGCAGTGACCACGTCTCTGTTCCATAAAGTAAAACTGATTAGAAACGCGGCATTGTACTCTCTGCCTTTGAGAGTCAAGTTGATTTCACATCGGTGCCACATGTTGAAGGTTGGCAACCGCTGTCTGGTCCTCAATTCTGGAAGTAGTTTCGTCTTTTTCCAGTCCACCAGGGCTTAAGCAGACACCCGGATGAATAAACTTATCTACCACATCCGCCGGCTCGCCTGCAAAAGTATGGTTTGGGTTTGAAATCACCCAATCTGGCACTAGCATCTTACACATTACGTGTGCGAATTGCATACCGAAATTCGCAGCAGAATTATGTAAAATAATTTGCGTTTCCAAAGTGTCTGATCCCAGGTGAGTAATATCATTGGCGTATTCAATGTGTGTGAGCGGACGTCCTGGGAGTATTTCGATCCCCAAGATTTGATAGGCAAGTAAAGATCCAAGCACATCTATAATGAAGTCAGAGGAACAGCGACAGAGGACATTCTTGCCTGACACCATAGGACATAGTCAACTCAGGACAGAATTCGCCGCAGAGACGGGAAGAGACATACAGAACCATTATAAGAGGCAGGAATTTAATGGGGTACCCTATATCGCCGGATACCGCCACACTTCCTGATGGTCAACGGAGCCAAAAACATATCTGAGATCGAGAAACACTATCATTGGTCGTTGGAAGGAGTGGCACTTTTCCAACACTCGTCGCGAAGCGAACTTATGATTGATGCAATTGTAACCAGGACGAGTCCCAGCGTGATTCTCGTGATGATGAATCAACATTTGTACGATAATACCGCAGACCACCTTGAAAGCTGTGGCCACGGTGGTTTTCGTACAATGTCACTGCATCCTTTTTGAAAATAGGAAACACCGTCTAGGCGCTTATACTATCGGTATTCTTTTTGCATTGGATACTTTGGAGTTAATTCGTTAGGATAGCCACGATGGACTATCACTTCATTTGAAGAGCTCAGGATACAAACCATCTGGACAGCCTGAGAACCAGACCAGGTGCTTTGTTGCGCTGAAATAGTGCGACTGCAAGTTGGACATCTGTTGCTCGCTGTAAGCTACTGGACCTTATCGAGGTGTAACGCTTTGTGTACCTCTGTTACTCCTGGACTGTGCTGTTGGGTTTCACCCTGACATCCGCAGAGTTTCTCATACCAGGCTGGTCAGTGGATGGAGATTCTACGAGCACAGTCTCCCAGTTCTTCAGACGGAGTGGAAATAAGCATAGCCATCTGTTCCGTAATAACTTATACTACCCTATTAATATGCCACAACCCATCCGCTTTCTTGCTGTAAGGCTTTGGTTGAGGATCCTAATCGCCATCCCGTTTATATGTTGGCGCCCTGATAGTATCTTAGCCCACGTACTGCCGGAAACGTCACAACTAAGGGTACTGCCCAGCCACATCGGCCGTCAGCGGGGTCGCCATATTTGCTGCATATAGCAGGACAGATAAGCCAAAAACATGCTACCTCTCCTACGCCATTTTCGTTGCATTCAAACGTATTCCCTCGTTTACACTACCCCACTTCAATTCGAATACTCCCTTCGCAGATCCAGTAACCAGAATTATTCGATTTGTTCGCTTTGCATCACGCTCAACTACAACTTCTTCCCATCCGGTAATAACCCCTAACTTCTCAAGCTCAGTTTTCAAAGATGAAAACTGATATACTTAATTGTCTTTGGTGTTTGCACACTAAACCAAGCAGGACAATACATGGTCTTTGTCCGTTCGTCGGATTTTCCGTACATCGATATACGCTACCTGTCATAAAGAGGGGTACAGGACGCAATTACCGGATTGAACTGAATACGCACTCTTGCCACTTCGCGTTCCTGGTGACGCGGAGGCCACAGTAGCTGGATGCGCCAGAGTGAGTTTTGTGTTCATTCATCAAGCGGAAGTCTGTGCTTGACCGGATACCCGCTGACAGTCGCTTATGCGTTGTTCCCTTGGTAGTCTGTGGGTGAGCCTCGAGAGAGGTTCATCGCTCCTTGTTTATCGTTCCTGCCGACGCTCCGACATACCGTAGCTCTGAAATTGCCAGGGTCAGTTTCGACGACACTCTAGGTGTTCTTTTACCGCGGGCTAAAAGGTCGCACATCGTTGTAGCCACTTTTGGGATGAACGCTTATGTAGGTACACTAAGCACTGGTCCGATTGTTGGCCATTTTTGGTTACACACGAGATGCGCGGACAGTGAAGGATTCCCACTTCAGATATGTGCCGGTCACAGGCTGTTTCTTTTCTGGACCTATTTTAGGAGTAGCGGGAATCGCTTGACTCGAACCGAATAGACTACATTACCATCATTTATGGGTGGCGATGGTCGATTACTGCCTACCACTCCTTTTGGAATATCTGCGTGGACTCCGACCGTGCACTTATCCGCGCTACTCTCTACTACGCTCTCTAGGTACATCATCATCACCATCATTGTCAGCTGTAAGAACGGCGTACTGGTCGTACACTGGTTGTAGCTGCCACAGTTTCGTTCACCGATGATTGGGGAGGGAGGGGGTAAGTAGCTGCGCATTGCACGCGCGAGCTGGTAAATTGGTGCATAAATCCAGCACTGTCAGTGGGTTGTCAAGCGGGGG